CTGATCTGCCTCGCCCGGGAAGAGTGCAATGATGGTGCCAACTTGGGCCAGTGAAGCAACATCCTCCACAACTAGACTGAAGAACAAAAACAACAGCAACTTGTCTGTTCCCCTTCCCCCAATTCCCCAGTACTGTTCCCATCCCCCCAATTCCCCATAAAAATCTTTAATAAAAAAAAAATTTAAAAAGACAAGGGCAAAGCGGCGGGACTCTGGGTGCTGGGATAGGAGGGAAGAAGGGATCACCACTCTAAGATCAGGGATTTGGGGGAATGATCATTCTACAAGTGGAGAGAAAACAGAGGGAGGAGCAAGTTTGTTGGAGATGATCTTAGTTTCAGAAAAATTGAATCTGGGGTGCTGGTTGTGGGTACCAAGCAGCATCCATGGGGAGCTCTCCAGTGGACAGGGGAAGCCTGAAACTGAAAAGGGAGTCAGGAACTGAAGATACAAATTTCATAAATAACTTAGAGGGGAAAAAATGTGTTTATCCTTTGACCCAGCAATTCTTATCAGGATAAAGAGGTGTGTAAGGATCTATCTACAAAAATGCTCATTGTTTATAACAGTAAAAGAGTGGAAACTTTTTATAAACTGCTGTGACAGTGAAAACTGTCCAACAGTAGGGAATTGGTTAAATAAATTATGCTATATTCGTGCAATGGAATTCCATTCAGACAATAAAACTGATATGGTAGATGAATTTATTGACATGAAAAGACATCAAATTTTTGCTAAGTAGAAAAAAAGCAGATTCTAAAACTGCTAGTAGAGTAACAACACTCCCATTTTTTGTTTAAGAAAAAATTAAGATGTTAATGTTTCTTTCTAGTAGTATGATTATGAACGTGCTTTTTGTTTTCTTTCTTTTTATAGTTTTTCTACATTTAATCATATATGGCTTTTATTATAAGATGGTTATTTTAAATTTTTGAATAAATTAAAATAAATGACATAGGGAGAGCTTAGGGAATGAGAAGGCTCAAGGATGGAACTCCATCACCTTCATATGTCTGACCATCTGGCCTCTGTCCATGCAATTGTCTGTCCTGGGTGTCCCTCCCAAATCATATTTGCTACATGGTTACATGGTAGGGTACAAGTAGCAGGATTCCATTCTGTTGCCAACTACAGGCCTTGGGCAAACTTTTTGAATCTCTAAGTCTCAGTTCTCTCATCTTTACAGTGGGGAAAATAACATCGTCCTCAAAATGGTTATATGACAATAAAATATGTAAAGACATATAGTAGTTGCTTGATACATATTAGTTCATTCTCCCTTTCTTCTTACTCTTTTTTGACCCTCACAGTGGGAACTGATGCCTCTTCTCTCTGAACCCCTTAAATGTTTTGTTTGGACCTCTGTTGAACACTGACTGAATTGTGCTCTGGAATTAGTGGCTATCTGGTCTCCCTCCTGACTGTAGCCAGCCAGAGTTGGGTCATGTCTCTCCCTGTAGCATCGAGCAGTGTTTTGCACGTACCAGGTGCTCTATGAATGTTTGTTGACTAAATTCATGGTGCTTTTCACGACTTAGCTAATCGTGGATTACTCAAAGGCTGGAATACTCAAGGGTTAGTTTATTTGAACCTCTTGGAATTTTTCTCCACCCAATTTGTAACGCTGGCAAGGTTTATCTTCCAATCTGCAAAGAGGTGACAAGCAGAGAAAGGAAAGCTTACTCAGACCTCTAGGTTCCTTGTTAGAAACTCTGCAGAGAGAATTGGAGGATAAGGACAGTCAAGTCAAGGCTGTTTCTGCCTCCCCTGGGTAGGAGGTGAGGTTCCCCCACCTTCTCAGTGGTTACACTGCCTGAACTTCCCGCAGGACAGCTTAGGGGCAAAGGGAATCGGATAGGTGTATCATTCCACAGGCCTAGGTCCCTTTGGCCGGAAGCAGAGTCCTCTGTCCACTTACTCCTGCCTCTTTGTTTCTGGCCCAGTGCAGGAGTATCTGGTCATTCTCTTTCTCTCCACGCCCCTCTTCCCATCTCCCCTCTAGAGAAGGCTCCACTTTGCTCCGGTGCATCCTTCAATAACACTTTGCTAGGTGGGGCAGGCAGCTGGCACTGACGAAAGATTTTTCAGTGGCAAGATAGGAGACCTGTGTGGCCCGTGGCAAGTTAAGTTCTTGGAGCCTCAGTTTCTGCATCTATAAAGTGGGACTAGGTACACAGGCCCTGTACGCGGTCACATCTCAGAGTTATTGAGGGGAATCAAATGAGAGTTTTACAAAGTATGAACAAGCAAAGCACTCTTCATAAACGCCAGGTGTTCCTAATGTCTGTGGGGCTCCCTCTCGGTAACTATCCACCGAAGCAGTCCTGTCCGCCCCGCCCTGGCTGCATTGGCCTCACCCACTGCATCTCCAACGTCTGTCATTGTCTTTCTGCACCTCAGAGATCCCCAGTGTCTCCATCTCTCCGGCCCATTTCCGGGTCTGGCTCTTGGGCCCCTCTAGGGACGGTGGTCTCCGACTCCCAGTGGCAGACGCTGCCTGGGCGCCCCCAGCCTTGTGCGCCCTCCTTTGGCACGGCCGCCAGGCCAGAGAATCGCCCAATAAGAGCGCCGGACTCAAGTCTGACAGATCAGGAAGCGGCCAATCGAGCCGGGCCAGAGAAGAGGGGGGAGCAGTGCTGGGGCTGAAGTTGGGTTGAATGGGGGGAGGGGGATTAAAGGGGGATACAAAAGAGGGGAGCTAGGACTAGGGGCGCAAAAACACAAGCAGGGGGCGGGGGAGTGCCGCACGCCGCCCAGGTCTGGCGCAGGGACCGCGGCTGGACGCGGCTCCAGGCGTCAGAGAGGGTGGGGGCGCGACGAGAATTTTAGGTGAGGAATAGGATCTGGGACCCCTGAGGCCCCCGGAGCCCAGCCTGAGGATGCCCGCGGGGCGCGGAGGCGGGGGCCGCGGCCCGGCCAGGGGCGGAGGCGGCCGCAAACCATTGTGAACCCAGGCCGAAGCGGCGCGGGGGGTGGGGAGGTGGCGGGAGGAGGGGATGCGGAGGGCGCTCCCGCGGCGGCGGCGGCGGCGGCAAGCGGGCGAGCGGGGAGGAGCGGCGCGAGCGGCCAGAGCGGCGCAGGGCCCGAGGCGTGCATGGCGCGCCCTGAGCCCGGCTCCCGCGGCCCCCCCCGGAGCGCCCCCGGGTCGCAGCGCCTCTGGGGCGGGCCTCTGTCCGCCGGCTGCATCTGAGGGGATCTCTGGATGCCGTGCTCCGCGGAAGAAGCCCGCCTGCGTTGGGGCAGAACGGCGGCGGAGCTGCGCCGGATTCCGCCCTCCGCCTAGTCTTTCCGAGCCCGGCCGCGGTGGGTCCGCAGCCGGCGGCGAGGAGCCTGGGGCTTGTGGAGCCGGCTCGACAGCCCTCCTGGGTTGGCGGGTCCCAGCCAGCCCCGCTCCATTTTGGGAGAAGGGGGAGGCGAAAGGGGAAGGGCCGCGCCGCAGGAGCGGGTCCTCGCCCCCGCCCCCTGCGTGGACGCGCGGAAGGCTCGGCTGGACTTTCGCGGGGGCCAGGCTCCCACTCTCGCCGCTGGAGGTGGGGGATGCGGACTACGGCCCCCCCCGGGCTCCAGGACCCTCCCCTCAGGGCTCCGGAGCTGTTGCTCCGCCTGCCGCCCCCTCCCCCGTCCTCTCCACCCCCCATCCCACCTCCCCACCCCTCGTAAGAAAATAATGCTGGTTGGCGCTCGCACCTCGCAGTCTCTCCCAGTCCTCTGTGAGGAAAGGGCAACCCGCTTGGCGTCCACGCCGGGACCCCCGCCGAGCCGCCCCAGCCGTCGCCTCACCGCGTGTGCTGCTGGGCTCCGCTAAGGCATAATCTGCGAGCGCCGCGCCCGGGCATTGCCAGCCCCGGGGAGGCGCCGCCTGCAAGGACACCGCTCCGTCCCGCCTCGTCCGCAACTCCGGTCCTTGTCGAGCTCGACGCGAGCCGGACGTCCCCCCTGCGCGCGGCACAGCAGCTCAGTCAGTCCCCCGCTGCCCCAGCTCGGAGCCAACTCCATCTCGGACCTGGGACTCGTAACGCGGATCCTCAGCCACTTCTCACCTCGAGGCTGTGCCTGCCTCCCCGGACGCCCTCCCGCTGCCCTCCTCCGCTCAGGACGGGGGTGCCAAGATGCCCCGCTGCTGCGCAGGGCCCCGGGCCGCCCCCGACGTGTGACCCCAGCCTGGTCCCCCTGCTCGGCCGTCCGCCCTCCCCTTGGAGACCCCCGGCCCGGTCCCCGGGGGAGGAGGAAGACGACGACGAGGCCGAGGGGGGGATGTCCGGCTCCAAAAGCGTGAGTCCCCCGGGCTACGCGGCGCAGACAGCGGCGGCGCCGGCGTCCCGGGGAGGCCCGGAACACCGCTCGGCGTGGGGAGAGGCCGATTCCCGCGCCAATGGCTACCCCCATGCCCCCGGGGGCTCGGCCCGCGGCTCCACCAAGAGACCCGGGGGGGCGGTGACCCCGCAGCAGCAGCAGCGCCTGGTCAGCCGCTGGCGCAGCGACGACGACGATGATCCTCCGCTGAGTGGCGACGATCCCCTGGCCGGGGGCTTCGGTTTCAGCTTCCGCTCCAAGTCTGCCTGGCAGGAGCGCGGCGGCGACGACTGCGGTCGGGGCAGCCGCCGGCAGCGGCGGGGCGCGGCCGGCGGGGGCAGCACCCGGGCGCCCCCTGCGGGCGGCGGCGGCGGCTCCGCGGCGGCGGCGGCCGCAGCCGGCGGGACCGAGGTGCGCCCCCGCTCGGTGGAGCTGGGCCTCGAGGAACGGCGGGGCAAGGGTCTCGCGGCCGATGATCTGGAGGCAAGCGCCGTCGAGGGCGACCACGGGTCCGGGGATGGCGGGAGCTCGGCGGGCTCGGGCACGGGCCCCAGCCCTATGTTGTCGCTGGGCGCCTGCTGCCTGGCGCTGCTGCAGATATTCCGCTCCAAAAAGTTCCCGTCGGACAAGCTGGAGCGGCTGTACCAGCGCTACTTCTTCCGTCTGAACCAGAGCAGCCTCACCATGCTCATGGCTGTGCTGGTGCTCGTGTGCCTCGTCATGTTGGCCTTCCACGCGGCGCGGCCCCCCCTCCAGCTGTCCTACCTGGGGGTGCTGGCGGCTGCCGTGGGGGTGATCCTCGTGATGGCGGTGCTCTGCAACCGCGCAGCCTTCCACCAGGACCACATGGGCCTGGCCTGCTACGCGCTCATCGCGGTGGTGCTGGCGGTCCAGGTGGTAGGCCTGCTGCTGCCCCAGCCGAGAAGCGCCTCTGAGGGCATCTGGTGGACTGTGTTCTTCATCTACACCATCTACACGTTGCTGCCCGTGCGCATGCGGGCCGCAGTACTCAGCGGGGTGCTCCTGTCTGCCCTCCACCTGGCCATCGCCCTGCGCACCAACGCCCAGGACCAGTTCCTGCTCAAGCAGGTAGGGGCCCACCTGGCCGCAAGGACTGGATTGTGGGGTGGGCAAGCATCCGCCTGACTCCAAAGAGAGGCATGCCATCCTCCCCCTTTTAAAGCAGTGAAAAGAGGCAGAGAAACAAGGCTGTGCCTTCTGCGTGGTGTCTTTGAACCTCTTAACCCACTCTGAGCCCCAGCATCTTAAAGAGTACCCTTGCATTATATATAATGCTCCTCGCCTAGTGGGAAACACGCACTAAACCGTAGCCATCATTGTGGGGATAAGAAAGGAAGGAGGGCTGGAAGAGAAAATTCTGTGGAAAGGCGCCCTTCTCTTCCTGTGCTTCTGTCCCTGTTTATAAAAGGCCTCTGACAAAAGGCTAGACCCTGTAGCATCTTCTCTCTTCTGAGAGCCACTGCTGGTTTGTTAACTGAGCTCTGGAGAGAGGGCTGGGGAGGGGAGGCCCTGGGCAGCCCTTGCATAGTCTTAAGGAGGAGAAATGGTAACCCTGCCAGTTGTCTGATACTGGGGGTTTGGGAGATGGAGCTATCCCTGAATTGAGGGAGGACTGCCAAGTTTGCTTCATTTACAAAAGTGCCCCAAAGCCAAAAGGCTGTCTTCAGCAGAGGTAGGAAGGAGCTTCTGAGATGTTTTTGGTGGCAGCCCTTCCTTCTGGCCTGAACAAAAGGCTTGCGTTGGACGTTGTGACCTGGGTCTTCATGTGGGTGCTCGTGGTTCTTGCTTGTGGTGGGGGCTTTTTATTACTGCTGGGACTGGTTGGACAAGCCTAGAACAGTGGGTTCAGGAGGAAATACAACTTTTGCCTGGTTAACTGGTGACTCCACAGAAGGCTTCTGGGAGAAGGGTGAGACCAGCCCCTCGGATGTGCACACCTTCTTGCTTTAGCAGTCCCCTTGTGTGTGGCTCCACGGACCTCATCCATTGACTCCTAAGGAGCCCGCTGGTTGCATGCAGAGCTGGTTTGCATGCAGCTCCATTGGGAGAGAGTCAAGTGAGCCCTAGCTAGTCCCTTGACCATGGACCACTGCACCCCTCTGTGGGTATTTGCCTCCTCTGTAGAATCTCTTAACTGTATCCCATTGTCATTACCGTCTTCCTCCCATCTCTAATGCCTTTCTCAGACTTTGATCCTGTTGAGTACCCCCTTTCTTGAGGAGCTCTTCCGTGCCCCCTGACTCTCACACAGAGAATAGCACCAGTGTGTGCTCAAGGTGCTGGCCTCTACCTGCACCTCCAAGGTGCTCTATGACTGGGAAGGAGGGGACCTGCAACTCTCTAGGTCCCAGATTCCTCTTGTAGAGAATGAGAGCATTGTGTATGCCCCTTCCAGTTCCACCCTCCTCTGTCCCAAAGCCTCACCTCCCACAAGGAGCCCTCTCCTTCCCTTTCAGCCATAATGGCCTCTCTTTCTTCTGCATGGTAACAATGAAGTCAGAGCCACAGAGTGGAGCACTTACTCTCCAGGATCCATTGGTTTTGCTCCCCATCCAGTGTAAGCTGCTTGGGCTCAGAAGTCCTGAATTATATGTGTATTTCCTCCTCCACCCTCTCTCTCTTGTCTAGTACAGTGCAGGGTACTTAGTAGGGATTTAATAACTATTGCCAATTTGCTTGGTTCCAATGAGTGGAGTAGGTGGGGTTATTGCTAAGGTAAAGTTTTTTCTGATCTGGCATCAGAAAAAGATAAAACCAGGCTTGGGGTGCAGGGTCTGATTACAGCTTTAGCAATCCAGCCTGTATGATTTCAGGAGGCTGGAGTCAATGATCTCAGGAAAGGAGTCTGAACCTGGGGTGCTCCAGCTCCATCTTAGCCTGAAAATGCCATTGTAGTAACAGAGTTATCTGTCTGACTTCCCCTTCTAATTCCTCAGGCAAATCCTTCTCTTCTCCCCACCTCCACCAGCCCCCACCCCCAGCTTCTTTTACCTACTGTGGTCTTTAGGCCTTCACTTGGCTGTTACAGGCTTTTGGGTGGATTTACACTTCTCAAGATCTTGGTTGAGTACAGCTGAGCTTGTTAGGAATGGTCTGTAACAAGGGAATGCAAACATTGTTTCTATTTGGCTCCACAGAAAACCGTATCTTTTTTGTTTGTATTTGATTTATCTTTCTGATTATGTCTGATATAAAATTTGTATTTCTTGAACAAATTCTACTAGATGGTGGGGAAATATTAGTGGAACAGTCCAGCATGACACTCTGCCTTAGGTTACCACAGGGCGGTAAGTGTTTTGAGGATCGCTTAGGTTAGATACCTTGTTCTTTTCTTTGATGAAGACACAGGTCCAGGGAAATGGGGCAGCAGTGCATGGTTTCTAATGTTGGGGCTTTGGGAGGTCCCCTCCACGGTTCCTTGGATACATAGTAGGTCCCCAGAGAACTGTATTGGCATGTCTTCACTTCTCCTTCAAGGCTGGCCCCTTTGCTCCCAGAGCCCAAGTCTCAATATCAGTATCTGACCTGGGTACTTGACTCTTCCCCAACCCCTCTGATGTTTGGGTTTCTGCCCTTTGCCCCAATTAGAAGGAACGTTTAGCTTCTTAACTGGTGCCTAATGATGGTTTTTACTCAAGAGAGAACAGAGGCAAGGTGGGGTAGCCCTCTCTGGGGGATGGTGTTTCTTCCTTTCCGTGACATCTCAGGCTCTAGCTCCTCCCCTGGTATCCGCCCCCTCCCCCTCTGCTCTTTTTCTCTCGCTTCCTTTCTCTCCCTTCCCCTCCCCCTCCAGTCCCCTGTTGCTCTCTGCCCACCTGTCCTCCGCCTGCTTCCCCATCTCTTGCTCCCCATCTGCAGCCTCTCAGCCTCTCCTTCTGTGCTCGTCTCACTGTTATCTCCTCGGTGGGGTACAGTAGGAGCATCACGGGGTTGTTTTTTCTCCTTCTTTGCCTGTTACAAGTCCCTCTGCTACACCCATACCATAAATAACACTTGAGCATCTGCCAAACACATTCCTCACTTGTGTTAATAGGCTGCGATGATGCCGGAGCCTGTTGCCATGGTGACCTCATTTTTTTTTGTTTGACTGTATCCCACTCTGCTACATAAAGCCTCTGCCCGTGCTCACACACCAGCAAGCACACTCACACAACTATCACATATGCTTAGCTATTAAGGGTTATTTTGGAGAAAATCTTTGGACCCCGTGGGGGCAGGTGGTATTTGACCAAGGAGATGAGCATCTCCGTTGTCCAGTATTACTTTAGGAGGTGATGATGGATGGGAGAGCTCTTTGAAAAGTAGAGAGTTCTGTTAAATGTGGGGAATTATTCTAGTAGTCGCATTAACCTGTCTGACATGGTTTCTGAGGAGAAGATTGTGACCCTGTGTGAGTCCCCGTGAGCTTGGGGGAGCTGTCAGAGGTTGCTCTGGAGAGCTGTCAGAGGTTGTTCTTGCAGTGTAGGGTGGCCCATCCCCCCATCTTCCGTTCCTCTCTTCCCCCTAACCCTTTGGAGAATTTCAGTGATTTCCTGCATTTCATCCTTTGTGCCTGTTTTAACCTGCAATTGTCACCAGTTGTTTCAGACATCAGAAAGGCACAGGCACTGTGTGGGTGATATTCTGTGACTGTGAGCACGTGTGAGTGTCTGTAGCCAGGAGGCTGGGATGGATGGAGGTGGGGACCCACTGCTGTGGCTGCCAAGGGGGTAGGTACATGTATGCATGAGTACATGTGTGCGCGTGTGTCTCTGGTGTGGGCTGGCTCCAGTGTGTGCATGCTTGTGTGTGCACACATGCGTGCCTGTCATGTGGGCTGGCCCCAGTGTGTGCGCGCATATTCGTATGTGTGTGTGTGTGTGTGTGTGTGTGTGTGTCCTGTGGGCTGGCCCTGGTGATGGAGGTGAGCCCCGGGAAGCCTTTGTGTTGACTTTGAAAGGAGATCATTGCAGCTCTGTCCTGTTTATTCTTGGCTCGTGGCTGGCTTCCTGTGACCCTTTGCCTTTCTGATTCTGGGCCTTGATGGCTCTTCTGACCTTGACCTCTGGCTCCTCAGGGAAGTACCCTGGATGCACAGCTCCCTTAACCCCATGGAACCTCACCCTTCCCTTTTAAAAACCTTTCCTGCTTAGCTGCCCAGGGAGCCCCATGGAAGAACCATCTCCATGCTCTGGAACTTGGCCCAGAGGCTTGTTTGGTGGGTCACTGTGGCTGTCCCATGTGTGCTGCTGGCAGCCGCTGCCTCCCGGACCGCCTGGGTGGTGTGGAGGAGGACACACTTCCAACCGCAATGGCCGGGAACGGGAATGGCCTGCCACCAATTAGCCCAGCACCGGCATTTCTGGACCAGAGAAATCTGACCTTAGTGAACTCCAGCAGCACAGCAGGCTAGGGTGGGGTTGGGGGTGGGGGTTGGTGCTGCCTTTGGAGCTGAGGAGGGGCTACTTGTCTTGCCTCAAAGCTAATTGCATTGGCCAATTATTCTTGCTAATTGTTTTCGATTATGTTGCCTCCTCTGTACAGTGGGAAGGGGGTACTTAGAGGGGAGCAGAAGCCTCTGGATGGGGGATGAGCAGGGGGCTTCTAGATGGAGGGACATTTTGTAGATCCCAGGGGGTCCCTCGATTCCCAAGGGGAGGACTTCAGACAGGAATGGCAAGAGACCCAGCCGAGGAGCAGAACCACCAGCTGCTGTATTTGCAGGAATGTTCACTATTAATCATTCAATCTAAGTTTTGATCTGGAGCAAGAGCATGAGGTCTGTGTGCTGTGGAACACGGAACAGCATGCTCACGCTCCTCTCTAAAGAGGACACAGACGATGTCTTAAGCCTCATCACGGAAACCTGCCCAGCCTCATGGAAGAGTCTTAAACATTAGCTGAGAAGGCTTGGACAGAAGCTTTCCTGTGCAGACAGTCAAGAGTCATGCCGTCAGAGGGTGACCCAGCAGCACAAGCAGGGCTGTGGCCTCTGCTTCTCCTGCGAGATACCAGTGGGGCTCCCATCTTGGCCCCAGGAGCAGATGGAGTGGGTGTTGTGGGGAGGGGGACCCCAGGTGGGAGCCTCC